CAATTATTTTTCTTCAAACGGATAATTCACCTATGCGCATCTAGCTTCATTTCTTGCGCATCTATCTTTTCTTTGATTTCATTCTGATCTGACTCCAATTTGCTCAGGCGTTCTCCATGTGACACAACCATCATGACGGAAACGGATCCGGCAGGTCGGACCAATTGTTAGGAATAAAACAAGAACAACAATTTGTTCCCCAATTATTCTTTCCTCAAATGGATAATTCACCAATATTTTCTTTCATCCATAATCCCCAAAAGTCCTAAGGTAGGAATTTAGATACCCTACTAAGCAATTCCAAATTCAGAAATAGAATAAATGACAATAAATTGAAATTAAAGACAATAAATTAAAATTAAAGCCAATAAATTAAAATTTGAAATTTGAATATCAAATAAGCTTAATCCACGGAAGGTGGGTTCATGCCCGTCTCCGTCGATGGTAAACTTGCAAGGCCGACCCCCTTGCACCACATCAAATTTGTAGGAGGGATGACATGCACTTATTCCAGTGTCCTGTTATAGATCTTTTATATAGTCTTGTGGCACAATAAAATCCTTGTTTTGATCGAGCAATTGTCATAGATAAAAAAACATACTTCATTTCATTAATAATCTTTATTTTCAGCTTCTTAAGAGAGTTGAATCTTATCATTTCACTTTATTCATGATCTTCACATCTGAGAAGAATATCATCTACATACACTATCAAAATAGTGATCTTACCATTTTTGGAGAATCAATTGAATAGCATTTGATCAAATTGGGCTTGTGTGTATAGCCTTGACCTTCACAACATGACTAAGGGGGTTGTATTCAATGTAGACTCTGAAGGATTTTGTTGGACTTTCAAAATCTAGGTGCATTCAATGAAGATTTTTAAAAGTCTTTTAAAATGTGAAGGTATTCATTACAGACTTTTAAAAGTCTTTTAAAGTCTCGAGGTATTTAACAATCCATAGACTTTTAATGGAAAATTGTGAAAATTTTGTATAGGATAAAATCTCTCCTGTTGAGATGGATTCTTAAAATTATTATTATTATTATTATTATTATTATTATTATTGTTGTTGTTGTTGTTGTTGTTTGTTGTCGTATATGTGATAAATAATATGATAATATTTATTAATATTATTATAATTTTTAATAAAAATAATAATTTAAAACTAAAATATTTTATCAAATTATTATGATTTTTTTAAATATATATTTTTATATTATAAATATAATTTAAAAAAATATTATTATCATAATAAATATGTATTACTGTCATTTTTTCTTTTCAATTATCAAATATAATATATTGTCAATCCGGCTTAATTCTCATTTTTCAATTATCGAATACACAATATTATCATTCAGATGACGGTGTTATAGATATTTAAATATATATATTTTGTTGAAACGTTAATTTATATTTATTTATTTATTTATTTTAATATTTTTTCAAAATTCGTAAATTATAGTAGTATTTTTTATATACGTATTTATTTTTTATGTAAAAAAAGTTATATAAATAATAATAATTATAATAACTAATAAAGAAATATAAAACTGATTTGATATGTTGAATAATAATATAATACTAACTTATAAAATTAAGAACAATAATCTACAATATAGTAGTGTTACAGATGTTACAATACTTCTTACATTATTAATAATTATATGTTATTTATTGATATTGAATTTTATTTTATAAAACTATAATTATATATAATAATTTAATTATAAATATATTATATTTATAAATTATGTGTTTGATATAAATTTATATAATTAATATATCCATAAAAAGATTATTTTACAATCCTACAAAATCTATATAAATCCACAAAGAATTCAATCAAATCAGTAGAAATCCATCTAAATCAATTACTAAAATTAATCAAATTCAGTGTAGACTCTGTAGATTTTCTAAATCTACATAAATCCATAAACTTTTTAAAATAAAAAAAAATCCATTAAAATCCCAATTGAATACACCCTCTAAATCTTTCAAACTTGGCTTTTGGGAAATTGCTTAAATTTTTAAAGGGTAAACTTTTTTTTAGTCTCATATCTGACCCATTTAATCATGTTATGACCTTAAATAAACCATGTTTGAAAATTGTCTTGCAAGTAAAATTTTTTCAATAAAATAGTCCTCCGGTACCGAAACCGCCACGTTGCTCCGCTGTTGTTAATGAGGCACTGACGCGGCTGATATATCATCACCACGTCAATGACACTTCCATTAGACATTTTGTAACATAAAAAAGTTAAAAAATTTCCACGTGTCGCTGACGTGACATTTATGTGGCCATGACATGTCAGCCACTTTAGCGCCACATTAGCATGGTGGGCCAGCGTGGCGAGTCCGGCACCGGAGGACCATTTAAATTCTTTTATTTATAGGACTATTTCAAATATGGTCTATTTAAAGTCTTAAAATAATAAAAATTGGTCAGATACGTGACTAAAAAAACAATTTACTAATTTTTAAATAGTTTTTCCAAATGGCATACTTTGGAACCCAACTTATCTTTGAATCCTGGCGGATGTAGGAAATAGACTTCTAGTTTCCCATTCAAGAAAGCATTTACATATAGGGATGACAATGAGAGCGGATTTTTTCCTAGACCCATCTCGGCTCCAGTGTTAATAAGGCAGGTTTCGGTCCAAAATTTTATGTTTGGGGTGGATTATGGGCTAGATTAAAAACCCATCCCGAACTTTCTTAAATCAATAATTAAAAAAATTAATATAGAATTATAATTATCTATATTGTCTACATTTCTAATTTTGTACTAATACAATTTCCATTGATTCTTATTTGTTAATTTTTACAATTTCAACCATATTGTACCTTCCATTAATTTTTTATTTGTTCACAATTTCAACCATATTGTATCTTCGAACTTTCCTTGCAATTGAAAACATATCACTAGTCATATGATTGTTGTTTTTGAAGTTTAAAGTATTTGATATTCATTACTTAAGTTTCTTTTATTATTATATTATATGACCTATAAAGAATATATGTACATATATATACATATTTTTTTTTTTTGAAACAAGACATATGTTTGAGGTTGGCCTTCAACTTGGTGGGTTCAAGGCGGGGTGGGTTATGGGACGGGACTAATATGGAGTGGGTGGGTTTTGGGGCTTACAAAACCCCCATGAACTTGCCACACTGTCACCACTATTTACATCATATTGTTACAACAACCAATCCAAGATAGCTTCCATCGAAAGTAGGATCTGAACTGTGTTTAATTTGTCACCAGACGCAAGGTCTTTGTATAGTCCATACCATAGGTTTGAGCATATCCCTTGTATCATCAAGATATTTGTCACTATCAAACTTTAGAATACATCCCCGTTTTGCAGCGAAAACATAGCTAGACATGAGATATTTAACTTAAGAGGGCTTTGCTTTCTAAGGCCTATCTACATTTTTCTTGTCTCCATCCTCACCACATGTTTTTGGATGTTTTTGCTTTGTGCATAATCATTCTCCTATCCTCAACAAGTTGTCCCATCGGGTTGTCAAAAACGTTTTCCTTGGTTATTTGCACACGCAAAAAGGGTATAGGTGCTATGATCCTGCTACTAGATGTCTACACACATCTACTGATAGTTACCTTCTTTGTAGATTAACTAGTGATCTTGATGTCTCCTCTAGTCTCTTTAGTCCATTTCCGCTCACGGGGGCGTGTTATAATATCTGTATTAAATGCCAAGACTATATTCTATTATGAATTAGAATATTTACAACTTAAAAGAAAATATTTGATTGATTGTACCTAGACTATGTTCTTTATTCATTAGTCACTTAGATCTGCTTATAGTGGTAATATATATTGTAATATATCCATTGTAAAGGTAGATAGAAATATAAGCCGTTCGTTCCTTCATCTCTTTGATAATATTTAACTTTATCTCTACTCAATATATAAAGGGTAGCCTTTTTTGTTAATAGACTTCATCACATATATATTCACTCTGTTGTTGTAGTCCTCAATTTGCAACACAAGAACAAACAGGCTAGATCCAATACCCCCATTTTTTTCGAAATAATTTAAGAGGTTTAGTAAAGATACTCATGCCAAGATGTATTTTCTTTGTTGGGATCCTAGTAGTAACAATGTCGTAGTTAAGCGTATTTACAATAAAGTAAGTTTTAAAATGAGTGTCTATTGGGAGGTTTTTCAGAATGTGCTAAAAAAGACCAGTGGCTGTGTTGATTTGTGATACCAATTTACGATTATATTACACCCAGCTACCATAGAGGGGTTGTGGATATTACAGTAATAAAGTTGATCCACGATCATTTTGCTGTCTTTTGATGTACCAATCAACCACCTAGCTGGGTGAAGTTCTCGGACACAATGAGGATGTTGCTTTCTTATGAGGGGAGAAAACACTACTTCACAAAATTTGAGAAGGACTCGAGGATCACTCACACTACTAGTACCAACAATGTGTACTTTTCTTTCTAGGAGCCCAATAGTTACAACTTCAAAGTTGAGCATGTTTGTCTAGTAATAGTTCTTGGATGGACGGTCTCTATATAAGTGTAGGAATGCTATGATATGACATTAGACAACTCTCTTGTGACTAAATCTTTGGTTGTAGTCACATCTGTGCTATAACTTCTGCAGTGATACTTTGACAGGATGTAAGGGGAAATGCTCCATTTACTCTAATCACCTTTAACCAAAATCACGATGAATGAGTGCTATCACTGACCTATTCAACACAAAAATCAAAGTTTACCCGAACCCTGAAATTTATATCTTAAGGTTTATAAACAGACTCTAATTTGATTATTAATATACAACTTAGAATATCTCATAAATTCTCCCAAAATGTAACAATGATCAACAAAGAGAGCCACACGCTTCACTGCTTCTATACTTTGTAATATGCTTAACATATACATTTAGATTAATACATCACTGAGCTTTTACAGTCTTTTGTCTTCTACTGTACTTCCCTGTGATGTTGCAGGAACATGAAGTTGAAGGGGAGTTTCCTGAGAAAGTTGCTTGCTATCAAGGAGTATTCTATAATTATTTCAGCATAGGTTTGCATGTAATTTTCAAGCCTTTTTCTCTTAAAGATATATATATGTTTTGGTTGAAGATGTATTATATATGTGGATGAAGGAATGGATGCCCGAGTTGCATATGGTTTCCACCATTTACGCAATGAAAAACCATACCTTGCCCAGGGTCCCATCTCAAACAAGGTAATTTGTTTTCATAAAATTTATTATCTTATTTCTGACATACTCTATACCTACTTAGAGATAATTGTGGAAGTGATGCTTTACTCCAAAAATTATGAAACTTACATGCATAAACTTCTCTAACCCAAAAATCTTGTATAAATAAATATATAATATATTAAATTGAAGGCTTATGGAATCTTCCGAAATAGAGTAAAAATAAGACAGTTTTGTACCAGGGTATCTGTACAATACAAAATAACGTTCTTGATCTAAAAGGCTGAGTTGAAATGAAAACCTGCTTCAATTACAATAATCTATAGCCTAAGTAGAGACGGAGCCAAGCTCTTATGAATGAATCCGAAACAATGGCATCAAGCTTGATTTAAGGTGCAAGGAGCAATAGGGTATGATCAAAATTTCTAGAAGGGAATCGTTAGCAAGGAAATATGAGGTAAAAGTCGTTTAGTGCAAAACCGAAGGATCTATAATAGAACGGGTTCTCTATCTTTCCTTCCCTTGCTAACATTTCCTTCACGAAATTTCCATCAAACCTATCTCTCTTTGCGCCTTTTATCAAGCTTGTCACCATTGTTTCAGATCAGTCGTTATTTTCAGAAGAAATGTATTGTCTTGATCTAGTGTAAACTTAAAAGAATATGGCCATGATGCAGTTGGTGTCCACATATCCTTTATTTTACAGGTGCATTAAACATATCAAAATTAAGAAAACTTTGAAAAGTCTAGGATTCCATTTGGGGCGACTAACAGCTTATTTGATTTTTTTATAACTTAAAAGGTTAATCGAAAAGAAAATCGACGGAAATAGAGAACCATAGGGGAAAACCAATTCGCTCTGTAACCAAAATTAAAATAATAACTGCCTACCCCAAGACTCATAATTTAAGAACTAAATAGGAAATAAAATTATAAGAGGAATAATAAGAAATAAAATAATCATTAATGATGAATTCTTCAATCCTGTGCCACGATCAGTCTTAGGTGAGTGCGGTCTTTCTTCCCCCTTCTAGTGTAAACCTTAATATTATGTGGCTCCATAACAACTTCACCCCCTTTGAAAATCGCCTTGTAATTAGATTCATTAATCCAAGTTGAATTTCGCCCGTTAGTTCGCGCAAAGTATCAAAAACTGAGAAACGAGTTTTTCATTGCGCCCTTTAATGTGACGGTCTAAAAGTGCCTCGGGCTCAAACAGGGGTACCTCATGGAGCTCCAAGGGCTCTGGTAATTGAGCTTCCACCGGGTGATCACCAATGACACGACATGAGGCAGGGTAAAGCTGACAATCTCTAGGGAGCTCTAGTCAGTATGCGGTGCCCCCGATCTTCTGAAGAACTCGGGATGGCCTAAAGTACCGTGCGGACAACTTGGAAAATTTCGATTGCTGAGCCGAATTATGCCAATAGGGTCGAAGCTCGAGGAAAACTAGATCCCCTGCCATGAACTCAACTTCTCAATGGTGTCGGTTTACCGCCGCGGTTGTATGTTGCTGAGCATTGTCCATGTTGTAATTGAGAATACCAATATTCTGCCTAAGGTAAGCAAAACGCCTATTTACGGGGCTGCTCGAAGGAGAAACAACTTAAGTAGGTTTCCAATACTTTATTCATTACCTCGGTTTGGCCGTTGGATTCGGAATGATAGGCTGAACTGTACTGCAATTTTGTTCCCTGTAGTCGGAATAGCTTTTGCCAAAAGCTGCTCATGAAGATTGGTCCGCAATCACTGACTATGCTACGGGGAATCCCATGGAGACGCACCATTTCCGGAACAAATATAGACGCCACTCTCGCCGTAATAAAAGGATGTTGGATGGCATACTTGGACAAACGGTCAACCGCGACTCGGATGCAGGAGTATCCCAAGGATCTCGGTAAGCCAATGATGAAGTACATTGGTTATGTTTGTTTGGGGGATTTTCCCTTAATTATACTATTCATCCAAATTTTTTCCCCAAAAAACATCTAACTTAAACATCTATTTTTTATTTTTTATATTATACTAAAAATCAATTTTACATTCAAAACATCACATCAACACCCATTTATATCACATCATACAACTATTCAAAATAAAAATTTTTACTATTAAAATCTCAACTCAAAATCCAAATCCCCAAACAAACACACCCTGAGAGGTCATCCCACATTGCGTTTGCCGATACTTGAGGCGGAAGCGTTCGTTTCCACAACGAATTGTTTTGTGAAGTTAGGCATCGCAAGGATGGGAGCGGTCGTGATGGAGCGCTTTAAGGCAACGAACGCCTTCTGCGCGGCGATTGTCCAAGGAAAAGGGGTAGAAAACCTCTCATTCTTAAAAGTTCCGTAAGAGCCTAAGAGGGTGAGCTAGCAAGCCATAATTTGTATCGAAGTGGCGATAGTATCCAGTGAGTCCCAAGAAGCCGCAAACACCCGTGACTAAGGTAGGGCGCCCAGTTCGTCACCGCTTGAACCTTGGTCGGGTCCATAGCCACGCCCTAACCGGATATCATGTGGTCCAAGTACTTGACAATTTGCAACCGAAAGCGTACTTTCGATTAGCCAGGAACTTATTGTCTTGCAGTAGTCTCAAGGCACACCCGAGATGTTCCATGTGGTCATCTCAAGTGTGACTGTAGATAAAAATATCGTTGAAGAAGACGAGAACAAACTAGAGAAGATGGGGCCAAAACAGATCATTCATCACGACTTGAAAGGTGGCTGGAGTGTTAGTTGGACCAAAGGGCATGACAAAGAACTCTAATGTCCACTGTGCGCGCGGAATCTAGCATCTAGCTGGATGGATCTTGGAGAAAACTTTCACTCCCACCAACTGATCTAGTATCTCCTGAATCACTGAAATAGTGTATTTGTTGGAAATGGTGACTTTGTTGAGCTCCCGATAATCAACACAGAATTTCCAACTGCCCTTCTTTTTCACGAGGAGCACCAGGCTTGAGAAAGGGCTCGTGCTCGGCTGTATGATTCCTACAAGGAGCATGTCGTGGACCAGTCGCTCGATTTCATCCTTTTGAACTTACCCATAACATACGGTCGGACGGACACGGGGCTCGCACTGTGCTAAAGGACAATGTGGTTGTCATGGTTCCTTACGTGAGGCAGATTAGATGGCTTGCCGAAGATATCCGTGAATTTCTCCAATACGGTGTGGACCCGTTTGTGCGGACTGCGGGATCTTCCGCCAACAATGACAAAGGGAACGAGGCAGTAATTGCACAGTAGCCTTCATCAATTCCACTCAATATTTTTTTTGAGGTTTTCATGCAAGTGTGAGAGAGTTGGGTCTCCCTGTAACTAAACCTCCCGGTTCCCTACTCGAAATGTCATAGACAAGACCCCCCAATTAAGATGGATTACCCTAGAGTGTGTAGCCACGCTACTCCTAAGATCACATTCACTTCCCCTAGGGGAAACACGTTGCAATCCACATTAACAATCCAAGCCCCGAGATTGAGGGCTAATCCTCGATAGACACCCTCATTGCAGATCTTCGGTCTGTCGCTGAGAACCACGTTGATAGCCCCGATTGGTGGGGCAGCGGCCCTAATCTCGCGGATGAACTCAGACGAAACGAAGTTGTGGCTGGGGCACAAATGACAACTGTAACATCAAGCTCGCCCAATCGTGCCTGGAGACGCAAATCCCATTTGCTCGCTCTCGGAAAATCCAAGCGCATTTTCTCCACCCCTCGACCTCGTTATCTCTTTGAGCTTGGCCACCCAATTCGTGTTTGGGCTCACCACACAAGTATGAAGGGACTTGCTGGTATATTTATGCAATGGTGTATAGGGCTCTCCTTGCAACGATAACAAAGTCGCTTATACTGACACTCGCTGTACTCTTCACGACTCAATTTTCGGAAGGGAGCTCGCCCGGAGGACTAGTCCAACACCATTGGACTCCGGCCAGTGGAACTGCTACCCGTGCCTGGTCTATTGCTTCCGACGCCACTTCTCAAATTGAAAAGACCTACCGGCGGCTCGGAGCACGTCCCACTACTAAGGCGTTGAATTCAAATCTTTGGGGTCTAGTGTCCGCAGACGGTTACAAATGTTTTACTGTAACCCATCCATGAAGTATTCGAGGTAGTGGTCATCCATCATACCTTGCAGTTACGTCGCCAGTTGGATGAACTCATTGATATACTCATCAACTCTTTTTTTTTTGTCGAAGTGTGGCAAGGCGCTCGTAAGGGCTCCCTACACTTTTGTGTGGGTCATTATTATCAGTATCGTTTCTGGTTAGAACGCCAGAAATTGCGTTGATGGATGACCCACTAACGCCACCAGCCGCTTCTGTGATTGCTACAAGTAACTCCTGCTGCAGCGACGCCATCTAATTTGTGTTATATTCTCCCAAGGTCTCGAGGTTGGCAAAGAGATCCTGGCGGATTTGGATTACCTTATCCTGTATTTCCCCAATTCTAGTAGCTCGAATCGTTGTTGATTGGAAATGGACATGATTCTGTCAGCAGAAGATCCGGTAGGTTGGACCAAATTGTTATAACTTAAGGTTAATCGAAAAGAGAATATTATTCAAATCAACAAAAATAGAGAACCATAGAGAAAAAAAAATCGCTCTGTAATCAAAACTAAAATAATGACTACCTACCCTAATATGACCTATATGCGCCCTATATATAGATGGACTTATGGCCAAGCCCAACACTCATAATTCAAGAATTAAGTAGAAAATAAAATTATAAGAGGAATAATAAGAAATAAAATAATAATTAATGATGAATTCTTCAATCCTATGTCACGAACTCCCCTAGGTGAGTGCAGTCCTCCTTTTTCCCGTTCTAGTGTAAACCTTGATCTTACCCGGCTCCATAACGGTTTTCCTTAAACACAAACTTCTCTCCCGATAGTTGAAGGGAAGCTTGTTGTAATTTTCACTTTAATTAAGGGAAGCTACCTGACAGGTTTCTAAAATAGGCTCTACACTGATTGCATATTTCTAACTTTTTATTTGAGTCCCAAATATCTTACGCCTATGCTCTTCATGTAATTGAGGTAATTGAATATAATGGTCCATGATGTTAAAAAACTAAAGACTTGCTCAATGAAATTATTATTATTCTTTATTTCATAGTTATATTTTTGTATACTATTTTGCGGGTACTAATGTTAGAGTTATAATATTTGTGTACAGTTAATATATTCGGGATTCAGTTGCACACAAGGTTGGTTCTTCACGCCATGCAGTAGTGATCCAGGTTTGAGGTCAGGTTTTTTTTTCTCTCTGTGAAGGAAATTAGGTTTTTTTCCATTAATTTTTAATTATAATAATAATCACATTACACTTATATACATATATACAAACCTAATCTATATTGGGTTATGGGCCCACAATGTAAATAGCTACTAATATATATATATATATATCTAACAATAATTATAGCACTTTCCCCAAGCTGAAGCATAGATATTAATCATGCCCAGCTTGTCACACAGATATTTGAGACGAGGGCTAGGTTAGTAGATCTCCAACTTGTTCTCCGCTTTTCACATGACCTGCGACCGCCACACCAGCTTGTATATATATATATTGGGTTATATATACTAGCCTAATCTATATTGGGTTATGGGCCCACAATGTAAATAGCTACTAATATATATATATATATATATATAACAATAATTATAACACTCTCTCCCAAGCTGGAGCATAGATATTGATCATGCCCAGCTTGTCACACAAATATTTGAGACGAGGGCTAGGTAAGGCTTTGGTTAGTAGATCTTGCGTGGCTTGCGGGCCCACGTGTCACAATCGAGCAATTCAAAATTTTGGTTAATTGATTAACAAAGACAAGATTGAATGGACAATGGGGAGCAAATAGAACAGGGGTTAAGGTGACACGTGACAATGGTTTGAGCATCACCGACGGCTTTAATGGACACTTTTGAACCATCAACTAAAGTAACATCAGGTAACAAAACAAATTTGTGAACTTTAGAAAATAGTTTCGGATTACCATAGGCATCAGAATCAAGCCCATGGTCCAAGAAATTACCAGGATAAGCGATTAAGGCAACTAGCTAAGAAAATAACGACTTCGAAGTTTGATACCCAATATATTCCTAATGGTCTGAACCCAAGTCCAAATGACTCAAAGCTGAAGGTAACGACTTCCATCAGGCTACGGAGCTTCCATGGAGCAAGAGGGTATAACTTCCACAGGCCTTTGGACAACAAGCTCCATCAACCCTGGGTTGGCAACTTAATAATATTAATGGAAGACCCCGACACCTACATGTCCTATATGGAAGGTTCCATGGGTCTAAACCAAAGAAAGAAGGAGGATTCCATGTAACTCGAGGCTGTTGGGGACATATCCCGTAGACCAGCTAGGAGTATGATAGAAGCAAGTCAGGGTAAGTTGCAGGTCTGATCCAGGGGCAATGGAAGAAGTTCAGAGCGAATGGAACCCGGTCCAGAAACAACGGAAGATGTTCAAAACGAATGAAACTCGGTCCAGAGGTGATGGAAGCGGTTGGGAGCTGATAGGAGGTTACCTGGCGGTTGAGAGAGGTGGAGGAATAATTAAAACTGCCCATTTTCGTGGATGAGGTGGTTTTTCTAGCTTAAGATTAAAATTAGGAAAAAACACATCACACAGGCACAATCAGATCAAATCGTCTATTTTTCTATTTTTTTTTTCATGTTCTAGTTTCGTTTATGCAATTTAATTCAAGTTACTACTTTCTGCAATTTATTTTACTTGTTTTCCGTAAATTATCGTAGTTTAGTTCGATTAATCACGTAAGATCTCGATTACCCGACGACGGATTGACTCTTTGGAGTACTTCCGGAACCCACACTGTCGACATCGACGAATTATTTTAGAACTTTCGAAATTCAGGTTCCAACAATTGGCATGCTCAATGGGATCAAGTCGGGTTCGTGTATGCAACTTCGTAGTGGGAAGGTGATCATTATGGAAAATCAGAATCAGAGCTCAGGTCTGAATATCGGTGCAGGAAATACTGGAATTGGAACGGCGGTTTATCCCAGTGGAAGCCGCACCCCAGGGCTGAGAAAAGAAGAAGAATCATCATCGACCAAAACGATGGTGAACATGGTACGCAGAGAAGTGAATCAATGTATTTGGGCTGGAATCGGGGATATCGCGTACGAAATCTCTAGGCAATTGGCTGATGTGATCCGGCCAACTGTGAGGAATGAAGCGTTTCAGATTCGCGAAGAAAGTCGAGTAGCGGCTTATGGAGTTCAGAATTCTGGAATTTCAGGAAATACATATGGAGGTCCAAAAGGAATAGCTCCAGGTTTCAGGATCTCCCGGGGACGCTTCCAAGCAGGTGGTGATGAATTGTTCGTCCAGACCCTCAGGGAATTGACACGAAAGTGCCGAAGTAGACGTTACATCCCGACGCCCAATGAAATACTCCCGAATACACTCCGGATTGATATTCAAGTCGGAAGTAACACGACTTGCACGAGGTGGGGCAGGAATGTGGTCTGGAGGCGGAAGAGGAGTCCCCGACGTCCTCAAAGGTGCATGCTGGTAAAGGACGTTGACAATTAATATTCTAATGTGAATGTGAAGAGGAATGCAGTTTGGGTGATGGAAATACATTGGATACCAAAGCTTTGGGTGGATGAACCTTCGAAGGAGGGTTTACCATAGTGCGAGCTGTAGTCCTCGTTGTCGGGGTTGTATCAACGCCTTTGTGCATTTTCTTAGCGGGCTGGATGCAATGATACATACGAATGAGAAAATTATGAAGTATTCGTAGAAGTATATGGAGATGACTATGAACCCGGGGGCTGAAAGAGATAGTTGCACGGCGCTCCTCCGAAAGTTTCAGGGCAGCAGCTTTGGCCTTAGCATGCCGAGTTGATCTACGTACAGGGAAGGAATCCATCACTGTGAACACAAACAGAGTCAGCCGGATATTTAGTGAGCAAAACTCAAGGAGAAGATAAAAGTTTACCTTTGATGATCTCAGGAGCCGCACTTTCAACCTCCTCAGCGGCAATATCAGTTGTTCCACTATGGTGGTCGGAATCGGTATCAATGGAACGGCGTAGCCATGAAACCTGAGGTTCAACAAAAAGAACATCCTTTAAGGATTTCCACCAGCCAGCAAACGCCGAATCGGTGGAGGGCCTGGTTTCGAAACAGGAAGGGGCGAATCCTCAATGGTTGCATTCAAGCCCCGATACATATCAAGATCTTCGGAGGATAGGTCCTTTGCCGCTGGAGGAAAGGGCCCTTGACAATGGAAACGGTACATCGGGATTGTCTGTTGGAGTCCAAACTGGCGCGCATACAACTGTGGGAAGTATCCCTCTACTCCAACGGGTAAAGAACGAGACGTAGGCTTTAAACCCAACAATAAGGGCCTTGTGGTTCAAACTTGATTCTATGATAAAGTGATGGAGGACCAGTCGGGGGAACCATACTTCTTTACTGGCGGGGGCTTAGAGAACCATAAGATCGCTCCGGAAAAGGAAAAAATCGTGCATCCTCATGGTTATTCGACTACAAGAAGAAATTAGCGATTTGAAAAGCGTTGCGGGAGCACTCAAACCCAGCTAAAAACACACCGATACGTTCTTCGTTCGGAATTTGAAACGGCCACAGTATGTCAAACAACTCGGGAAACATATAAGCAGCCCTGAGTTGAAGAGACCATAAAGGTCCCCTCTGGGTGGATACATACTCCTCACGACCTAGGTGAGTATGAAGATCGTTAAGGGTTCTATACAAATGTCCTAAGAAGAACTTAGCAAGCGCCAAACAGTCACCCTCCATCATCGACGACACTAAGGGTTCGTATTCCCTAACCAAGTTTTTACCAGCTGCACCTATGAAGAAGCGATTCACCCAAAGCATTAAAAAAGTCCTATGGTTATCTAGCAAACTGACTTTTGAGTTCGGCGCCCCATACTTCTTGTATAGTAAGGCGCTCGAACTAGACTTTGAATAGTCTATACCAAAATCGACAGTATTCGGTGGAGCAGGGAGCAGAGCATAATCATCCCTTGTTACGGGGAGACCTAGCAACTCCGCAATATCAAGTAATGTGGGTGAAATCATGCCAAAAGAAAAGCAAAATCCGTTCACCACCGGACACCAAAACCCTAGGAGTACGAAAAGAAGATCAAATTTGGGATGAGAAACCTGTGTGCTAACGGTAATCATGTCGTCAATCCCCCAAACTTCCCATTGAGTGTCGACTGAGCCACCGAGGGTTGCCGTCCATTCCTTGAAGGTCGCGCTGTCGGGATATTGGGTTAAAATCCTACCTTGTCAAAGAGCCAACGAATAAAAGGATTTCGCGATTAACAGGGAAGATACCCCGTCGCCGGCGATGATTTGCTGGAGTTCCTCTCTTTGAAGATCCGTCTCGGCCGACGGCATTAACATCCACGAATCCCCATCAGCGGACGGGCGCAATGGTCCCTCAACTGGCATCGAATAGCGGATCGGACCTGGGACTACTACCATCGACAAGGGCTCTTCCACACCACCGGAAGGATGAGCTATCGGAGAGGCCATACGAATTGACACCAACACTCACCAACCAGAACGGGAAAATCCAAAGGAAAACGAGAGAAAAACGAGGGGGAAAAGGGTGAAAATGGGAAGTGCTGAGATAAACCCCAAAAAAGCCCTCAAGTGTCTTTTTCTTTCAGGCAGCGCGGGAATCAAAGAGTGCAACTGTCACATCAAGGTTGGAAGGCCTTATGCGATAAATCAAAAGGGGTTGAATTTTATACTAAGGCCCATGGGTGTGAGCTCTATACGAAGGAAATCCCAAAAAAGAGTAAAGCTCTACACGATTCGCATTTTATCCCTTTTTTGAGGAGGGCAATTGTTGGACCGAATAACGACTTCCATCAGGTTGCGGAGCTTCCATGGAGCAAGAGGGTATAACTTCCACAGGCCTTTGGACAACAAGCTCCATCAACCCTTAGTTGGCAACTTTGTAATATTAATGGAAGACCCCGACACCTACATGTCCTATATGGAAGGTTCTATGGGTCAAAACCAAAGAAAGAATAAGGAGGATTCCATGTAACTTGAGGCTGTTGAGGACATATCCCGGTAGACCGGCTAGGGGTATGATGAAAACAAGTCATGGTAAGTTGCAGGTCTGATCCAGGGGTAATGGAAGAAGTTCAGAGCAAATGAAACCCAGTTCAGAAACAACGGAAGATGTTCAAAACGAATGGAATCCGGTCCAGAGGTGATGGAAGTGGTTGGGAGCTGATGGAATGAGGTTACCTGACGGTTGAGAGAGGTGGAGGAATAATTAAAACTGCCTCTTTTTGTGGAAGAGGTGATTATTCTAGCTTAGGATTAAAATTAGGAAAAAACACATCACACACAGGCACAACCAGATCAAATCGTCTATTTTTCTATTTTTTTTTTCATGTTCTAGTTTCGTTTATGCAATTTAATTCAAGTTACTATTTTCTGCAATTTATTTTACTTGCTTTCCGTAGATTATCGTAGTTTAGTTTGATTAATCACATAAGATCTTGATTACCCGACGACGGATTGACTCTTTGGAGTACTTCCGGAACCCACACTGATGACATCGACGAATTATTTTGGAACTTCTGAAATTCAGGTTCCAACAATAACATAGAATTCATGCTGAGAATAGGAAAATAAATTAATCACGAAAAATGATAAATAAAAGATAATTTCAATGAAGAAAAGTTGTGAATAAATAGTCATATTTAATAGTAATTTTTAAAAAATAATACTAATATTGATATGAATTTTATAAAATCGGAACAATATATTTTTAAAAGAAATTACAAAACTTAAATAGTAAAATAAACAAATAAATAAAATACACATTTAGGTATACAAATTTTATTTCTCTCAATTTCTCTGCAAATGAGAGAAAAATGAAAATAAAAAAAATAAAAATGATTTATTTTCAAATTCTATTTCTCTAGAAGTAGAAATATTTCCATTTTCATGCTCTCAATTCTCTATGCCAAACACTCTTAATGAAGTATTGGCTCCTGGATTAGACATAAGTCCTATTAGTCCCAAATCTCAGAAAAAAACAGCACCAATCAATCCCAGAGAAGACTTCAACGATGAGTTATTACTGCTGAAGTAACTTAATGAGTTTGCTATTTCTTGTTAAGCTAGTTGAGAGGATGCAACTAATAAGAGAGGGAGAAGATAATAGGTGCCCTATTAAGCCACACCGGCGCCGGCTAAGGAAGAGAAAATAACACCGGTTGGTGGAAGTGAGGGGCGGTAATAAAAACAGTTGTGACCAACTTGAGGCAACCCAGCGGTGGTGGCGGCGAGATGAGAGGAGAACGCGCCGGCGAAACATGACAGATACAGTGGCACGGCGGGTCAGTGGGTTCACTGTAGTGGGTCAACGGCTATGATACCATGTAGAGCGAAACTCAATTCTCATTGATTTAAGTTGAAATTGATTACATAAATAAACCTTAAAAAATAAACTACGATTAACTAAAATATCAAATAGGTCCCTATACTATTCAAAATCCAAAATTGGTTTATATAATTTACAATAGGGATGTCAAATGGGGCGGGTTAACCCCGGAGCCGCCCCGGACTCGGTCTTAATGGAGCAGGTTCGGGTCTAAAAAATTTAGTTCGGAGCGGGTTGTGGATTTTGAGTTTTAGATCTGGCCGGGTTTGGGAAGGGTTACAGGTTTTACTATAAACTCGTCCCACTCCGGACCCGGACCCGAATTCGAATATTTAAATAATTATTATAATATATTTATATTTTTATACAATATAAATTTAATTATTTATTTATTTAAAAAAGTTGAAATATAAAATAAAAACTTAATTCTAAATCAAATTTATCTTCGAATTTATTTATCCTACAATTTTCTTTATAATTGGGACTACTGCTGACCGCCTTCACTATGGACTATTGTCAATATTTGATTGTTCTTATTTTTAGAACTATAACTTTTTGACGCATACTTTTTTAATATTAAATTGTTTTTAAAAAATTCTATTTTATTCTTTTCTTAAAAACAAAAACGGGTTTGTCGGGTTTGCTCCGAACCCGGAGGGTTCGGTGCTGGACGGGTCCTGGGGCCGGGTTGAAGCGGGATAGAACAAGTCTTGGGTCCTAATATTTTCTAGCGTGGCGGGTGCCGGGGCCTGCAAAACCCGTCCCAAACCCACCCCGTTGACATCTCTAATATACAATATATCTAACATTTCTTTTATATCAATTTTTACTATTCAAATTTTCAAATTTCCTAAAAAAATGTCATATTTAACACAAATTTTTCATTCAAAATATTACATCGAACAATAATTTTTTTATTTAAAACATTACATCCAACAACTATTTTACTTCAAAAGCATCAAATCAAGAACCAACACAAAATTTGTGGACCATATTTTCTTTGCATGTTATAAGTTCTAGTACTTTCTCATGTTTCTGTATGTTTTAATTGAAGAGGAGTGTTTGAGAAGTTAGTTTAATGTATAAATGATTCTAATTGCTTAAAAATGGTTTTAATCATTTGTTCCAATACATCAGATATAGATTTGTGAGTTGAAAAAAATTCTATTATTTGGTCTTTATAGACAAAAGTTACTGTAGTTTTATGAACTTTTAGTTACGCTAAGTTCTTTTTTCGTAATTATGGTTCTTAGTTGATTAGTAGGTGGTACTCTATCAATATTCATTTGCAAACTTTGATACTTACTGCTTTTGTTCCTTAATATTCTAGTACTTTACAGGCCAAATATACCTCTATTTATTTTTCAGATCATTGAAAAACATCTTGAGAATTTACCTTAAGAGGGTTAATTGTTTAAAGTGGGAGCAAGTTCCTGTCCCTTCCAGGTTGGTTCTTGCAAGGTTTTACTTTGCATCTGATTGCATGATTACTAATCACCGGTTATTATTTATTTTAATTCATCTTAGCTTTGTGAATTTTTCAGTGTGAGATCTATTGTGGTTCTCAATCTTCCCAGTTACGGAAGTGGAAGAAATCCATGGGGCAAATTGAAACCAGATTACCTAGAGAAGGTTTGAGTTTGTTCATGCCATATATCTTGACTAATTGGTGCTTTGATTGTTTGTGAATGTACTATATAGTGCTCTGGATACTTTCAGCTTTATCAAATACTTTACGTGGATTCTATATTAGTTCTCTAGCTAATTTAAGGGGCATCGTTCAAATAATTTTTTACTAGACAATTCTGCTTGGCATGTGGTTTCCTTATTTCAAATCCAACTTTTTATGGGATACTTGTGCATTCTACTCATGGTTAAATTCCTGAATACTCTCAAAACTCATGTTGCGTTGCTGTTCCTTTTCCCTTGGATGGGCAAGTTTTCGAGGTGCAATTTTGGTGTTTTATGTCTTTGTATCCTTTCATATTTGTGAAATATTCTTTGTCAGTTTCTAGTAAGTCAGTAAAAATTGTCTGATGTTTTAAAATATGAGCACCCACTAGAAAAATAATGAAAAATAAAAAATTCTCGCCTTGCATCAAACGTGAGCTTTGAGATGGTATGCTAATGTTATCATATGGTGTTTGGCAAATATCCTTTTCATCTTATATGTGTGCTCAGTATCTAATGATAACGATTGATTGTAATATGCATTACTATATATTAAATCTACATAGTGTACGTAGATTATGGATGCCTCATCATGACCTTTGTTTCTATATAATGGAAACATTTTTGAGGTGAACAAAGCTCTTTTTGTTCGTTGTGCAGAGAGGGTTTGTTGATGCGCATGCTGATGACGGTTTGGTGGAAATCTTTGGCTTGAAACAAGGGTGGCACGCTTCAATGGTTATGGTTGAACTGATATCTGCAAAACATATAGCCCAGGTATCATGTTGGATTGTGTTCATTGCAGTATTTCAGCATATAAAAAACAGTAAAGTTGAGGATGCTACCATGCTCGCTATTAAATTTCAGTATTTTGATCTTCAACTGTCTTCAGGCCTCTGCAATCCGGTTTGAGCTCAGAGGAGGAGAGTGGAAAGATGCGTTTATGCAAATGGATGGTGAACCGTGGAAACAACCTATGAGCAACGACTTCTCGACATTTGTGGAAATTAAGAGAGTGCTGAATCAGTCAGCTATGATCAGAGCCAGTTGAGGAAAACAGGTATTTGTATTTGTATTTGTGTAAAGTATGCACAAAATCTACTTCAATATTTGTATATTGAGTGTCTTTTGATGGTACAATAAACCCGGACAATTGTCAAATTTCATACATCTTATGCTTACTTAGCTCTTTGTATCATCTATCATTGTTTATGAACTGGCTTGGCTGCTATTATGTTCAACAACTTGCTTCACTGCAAACCTTGTCTGCACCACTTTCTTGAAAAGAAAGTGGCATTGCTATTGCTATTGCTATTTTGCCATTTTATTTTATAATAGGGAAAAAAAAATCAAAATTGGTCCCATTGAAACAAAAAAATGATTAATTTTAGTCTCAATATAAAAAAAGTAATCAATTTTAGTCCTATTATAGACAAATAATCAATTTTAATTTTACTGTTGAAAAATTAACCGAAAATACTGATGTGGACATAATAGAATCCGACATGGCATCTGATATGGACAGAACATGACTGTGTTTTGATGAACGTGGTTGTGTTTGCACAATTAACAACAGACAGATCAAAATACTGAAAGGGAGCCATGGCAACACGCAGAAGAATACACCATAATTATATTGAACATCACACTAGAAGCGTTGAAGAAGTACAACAAGATTGCGTGGCAATCCACAGGTTTGTTATATCAACTATATGAATAGTAAGATAAGACAATGATTTGATAGAATTTCAAATCGCGAAATGTTGTCCGTATACTTTATTTCGACCCTTCCATGCCTTACGGATCACGAAATAAGTACAAAGATAAAAAGAAGTTGCACTCAATTGTTACATGTGTTAACAATGAGTATTTAATGTCTTGAAGAAAAGAATGATCACTTTCTTATACACGAGAAGAAAGAAACTGTAAAAGCTAAGCGTGGCGTATGTACAGAATATGGGAGTTTTCAAGAGTTATGAATTTAAATTAAATAACTAACTCTTCAGTTTGTTCAAACTCAAATATTAATAAGTTGAATTTGATAAACTCGATTAATAAAAAAATTTTAATTTGAATAAAACCAGCAGCTTATTCTGCAGTTTATTTTCCCAGTTCTTGATATTAGGAAAGTTTGTCCGAGCGCGTACTCCACGCAACCCGTCCCGGACTCGTCCTTGGCCTAAGAATAATTCCCGATTATACCAAAATAACCAACATTCCTACCCCATTTTGGTGTAACCCTTGAATTATTCATAAAATTAATCAAACTCATCAAACAAACGCATAAATGAAAACATCTGAACGGTTGAATTTTCATATTAGTACGTAACAACACATTTATTCGAGAATCAAGGTATCACTAGGGATTGAACCAATCAACTCATAAGAATACATGCTTGTAATGTACACGAGTGTTTGCAAATCCTAACATTAATCTTGACACTTTCAGCCTTGTATCCCTATCCTTCGCAAGTACATCGACATCAAAGTCCTTAAATATTTGGAAGCGGCAAAACTTCGTACTTGTGTAGGTGATTTCCTTTATATCTTGCTCTTGCAATGCAATTTTTCAAAGAAATCATTGAGAGAATAATTTTCAACCTAACTTTCTTATAGAATTGAACGTTTACCTTGGGATGATCATTTAAAAAACGTTCCAATCAACTAAAGATAAGCTTTCCTCCTTGAATTCAACTTCTAACATCATATTAGAAGGGAATTGGTGTCTCATCCTTAGATGAATTTAATAGACTTTAATCCCATCCCGACAGATGACTTGTGCACAAGTTCTCTAGCTAATCCATTCGTCAAGTGATCAGCTAAATTCTGTTGTGAACGAACATATTCTACTGAAATCACTCAATTATTAAGAAGTTCACGAATCATGCTATGTCTCACGCCTATATGTCGAGACTTTCTACTATAGATTTCACTATAAGATTTTTCCATCGTTGCTGAACTATCGCGTGGTCAATCAAATATTTCACCTATTCCGTGATCACAATTTAATGTAATACATGGGAATGGATCGTCTCCAGAGGAATGATGTGATTCACTCTTTCGTGTTCTAATGCAGTAAATAAAGGGGGGAATTTTCTTTTATTATCTAATGAAGACAAAATAATAAAACGATTAAAGTAACAAAGAACTAGCTATTAAGGGGATGTCTGGCTCAAGGGATGATGCAGTTATGACACTTGTGTTTTATCATTGATTCAATAAAGTTAGTTCTTATTAAAGTATTAATAAATTGGTTATAGTTATCAACAAGCTCCGACAACCAATTTTTCCTTACAGTGTAGGTAATTAAGGTATGACCGTTAACTACCCATAATTAGGCTAATAAACCTAGGCGCGCCCATAAGAAATATTGTCTGATCAAATTCTAAACTAGAAAACCCAATTCAAAACAATTACTACCTAAGATGAGCAATTAGGTTTGATTGTCTGACCCCCATGAAGGAACTATTCAACCCGGTTGTCACCTATTTAAGTGCGAATACAATAACGGATATCCTACCTAAATCCACTTTGGATTATCAGACTAATTTAAATATCGGTACCAAAATATCCAATCAATCTAACAATCACAATCATTATTTTCAGGATTAAACAAATACTAATTATAAAAAGAACTTTTATAAAGAAAATCAAGAATCTCCAAAACACAAGAACCAAAACATTATCATCTCTCAAACCAGAAAAATACCTACTCCATAATCAAATAATAAAGAACAATAGGTTAAAGATAAAGTCATAGTGGGAGGGGAAATCTTCTCTGTCGATTTGCTCCTGCGCAATCTATGAGTCTGTCAGTCTCCTGCTCTTGTGCGCATCTCTCTGGCCGCCTCCCCTTTTCTGTCTGCGTGTGATCCTCTCCTTTTATTTAATTTTGCCCTAATTATTTTGTAGTTGGGCTTTTGGGCCTTTAATTACATTTTCATGTCAGGAAGGTATAGTTAGTCATGGCTATGACTAACTAGGTGGTGCAAATCTGAATTTTTCTTTACTTTTTCTGCCAATTACGCCAAATTTGATATTTGCCCTTTGCACACAGCAAATAAACAATACGCATATAAATTAGGTAGAATCCGATCAAAATCAATCAAATATCGCATATGATATGAACATAAAACGCATGCGATCTCTAGCTATCAATTCTCCTCACACCTAGATCATGCTTTCCCTCAAGTATAGATTCAAAATAAGCCAAAGAAATCGCAAACGACTCAATATGACAAGAGAATCCAACACAACCAATTCAATCCGAAATTCAACATGTCAAGCCAAATCGACCTCACAACATACATGTATTCATACATGCTCTCTGAAGGAATAAGTGTATAATTGGCTAACACTCAGGTAATGCAACAAAAGATTATCCTATAGGCTTGAGTAAAAATCAAATCTTCCTTACTTAAGATGTTCGAATCTAGCATAAAGAATCAAATGGACTTTCAATAAGGGTTGTAGCGGGGCTTATGGTCAGGGGTAGAAAACAAGGATAAACAACGGCTACGTATGTCAGAAAAGAACACAATAAGAAGACGATGCGAGCACATGAAAAAAAAATCAGCATAAACAATGAAATCCTTACTTTATTCACTACCCAAACTTCAATAACGAAATTAAATAAAAGTACTTCATTAAGATGATTAATTTTTTTTTCTTTTTATTTATTTATTTATTTATTTATTTTTTCCTTTTTGATATTTTCTTCTTTTTTTTGATATTTTTTTTTCGTTTTTTTGTTTTTTTGTTTTTTTTGGCTTTTGCCTTTATCTATATATATATATATATATACACCTTTACTACCTATAATCATTCTTTTATACTACGACTTATTCGTACCCAAATTTCGTTTCTAACTAGTGCCGAAGAAATAAAATGCATCACAATATGAACTTAAAGTAATTCTTTCTAACATAGGGTTCAAATCGGAAAAGACTTAATCAAAAGAAGGGTCTGAGGCTAAAAGACGGTTTATCATAGAAGAAAAAATAAGCTAAGAAGGCTCAAATGGGCTATAACTAGGGGAAAATATTTTGCTGGGTAATAAAGAAAGGCTTAATGGGGTTACCTAGTGCCCTTATTATTTTCAAAATGCAAGACTCGATAGTTGCAAGTTCAACATGCATAATCATTTAAGTTCTAGGTCATCTAGTTGAGCACTACAAATCGTACATAAAAGAAATTTCCAAAAGTTTGAATATATGCAATTTATTTTCTAATGTAACTTTTGGAACGTAGGCTCAAATCTCACGGGGTTCAAACGTCGACTTGACTCAACATATCATCAATCAAATGTCATTAGTCATGCCAAACTAACGTATCACACAAATCACCTTTGATTCACTTCATACTAATCTAAAAAACATGCGAAAGAACACCAAATCAAAAATAAAATGTAGCAAAAGAAATGAAAATTTTGCCCAAAAAATTGCATAACTCTCCCACACCTAAAGTATGCATTGTTCTCAATTTAAAAAGAAGTAAAAAATGAGAGGGACTTCCTTGGAGTCCGCAGGGGATGTATAACTTCATTGTGTTGCTTCCTTGCCAACGCCTTTTCATTTGTCGTGCGCCAGGTTTAGATGAGGCTTGGAATTTATCCTTGCAAAACGATTAGCCAAACGCAACAATGTATCCAAACAAGGTAATTCACTCAAGTGACTAAACTCAATTGCACTAAAAAGTCAGCCATAACAACGAGAACAAGATTCTGCAAGGAGAGTGCGATCTTCGATTCAAACATGCCGAATCAAATCATCGTATTCAAAACAGTCCTATATAACAACCAGAGACAAATAGCCAGTCACAACGTTAGGAAATGCAATCCAGAACAATTAAGGCCAAAAAGTTCACCATATAAAGTTAACTTGCAATTCAGAACACCACTTTAACTAATCAAAGAACATCACTAAGCGACATCAAGTTCACAACAATTTCCTAGTAACCGGAGTCCAAAAATTGGCAATTCTTAACATCAATCCCATATCTCAACATATTATTCAAAAATTGAAAGTATTAGTAAATAGGGATGAATAGATAATACCCAATCCAAGAATGAAGATCGGCGGCGGTTGGAATGAGAGGTCGGCGGGTCGGAGAACAATAGCGACGCTGGCGGCTGTCATCGCCGTTCGGTTGGAGCAGATCCGGTTCGGGCTAACCAGTTTGGCGTAGGAGCAGGAAGGG